GAGAGGAGAAAAACCGGAGATTTTGAATAGCGCGTTCCGGCGAAGAGATACGGGGTCGAAATCGGCGTCGATACCTGCCGGCAAGTTTTCTCTTTCTTTTTCCGTTTACCTCGAGGAGGTAACTCGGACGACGACGCCGTGGTAAATTTTCTCCCGAAGGTCTGCAAAAGTCACGTGACCGCTTCGTTTTGTTTTTCACCCACATTAAGCGCCGAAGATTGCCGAACGCGCGCTAACCGCTTTTTAATTAATTGCGAGCTTAATTTTGGACGGAGAATTTCGGTAGAGGTCTCAAAAATTCGAGAAAACTACGAGGAATGTGTTAAAATCGGTTTCGGAACGGTGCGTGATCGATTTGTGTTCGAAATTAAGTGATAAAGTTTAAGTGTCGGTTAACTGTCAAACGGATTCCGTCAAGTTTTCAAAGTGTTTTTAAAGGAAATTAACGTATTAAAATGATCGGTAAGTGTTTGAAATTGATTATTATAAAGTTTAAAAGTGCTTCGAATAAGTGTGGAGTAAATAAAGTACGTTTAAATAATTTGCTAATTTACGTATTCTCGACGTACCTACTTATAATGGTTTAAAAGAAGTGTTAATGTAAGTCCCAGTAGCTTAGTGGTAAGCAGTTCGGACTTTCAACTTGACGATTGCGCGTTCGAACCCGAGCGCGCGCGCGTTTTTTTTTCTTTTTTTGACAAATTTTTTATATTAATTATTTTAATTAAAAGGAACGAAAATAGTTATAATGTTACAATGGAAAAGTTATTGCGGAAGACTTAATGTATACGTGGCCGGTTGCGTTTTGGGTATATTTTGAAATTGGAAGTCATCCGAATGCTTTTTAAGTTAAGGGTGACATAGACGCGTGAGTTTTTCGGTTATAATTTTTTTAAGAGACTTGCCAGACGGGTACGTTCAATGGGGAATATTTAGCTCGAATTATTAGCTATCGTATGCACCGCTCCCCGTCCGAATCGATTGAAATATAAAGGTTCTGGAAATTTTTTTCTAAAAAAAACGATTATGTCGCGTGTTTGCCAAGTTTCTTTTATAATTTTTAAACGGTAATTCGTAGGTATGTACTTACAATGGGAAAATTATAGCATATTTAGTTCTCTATTGGAGGCGATCGATCGGAAGGCCATCGGGATTCGATATACGATAATGGGGAAACCGCAATTATTATTAGAATTGCTATACCTGCGGACGAAATTTTTTGAAAATTACCAAAACTGAGAAATTTTCTTTGTAGAACAGTGAACAGTGCGAGGCGAAGCCGAGCTATGGACCGTTACAAATCAGAGCGAGGCGAGGCGGCAAAGCCGCCGGAGCCGAGCATATTTCTCATCAAACCCAAAAAGTGATAACAAAATTAAAAAATCTTATGTGCAGATTTGGATTGAACAAGTTGAATAGAAATTTTCAAAAAAAGGCACTCTATGTAGGTGTTTTCAAAAATCTTCACAAATTAAAAAAATTGTCAATTCAGGAAATCTCGCGAGGGGTATTCCTCCCCCGCGAAACCCCCGTTTTTGTGATTTCACGCTCCGGAAGTTAAACAGTAAGCGTTCTTGGACACCGTCGCGGCTTAGAGGGGATAGCAAGAATGAGTGCGTACAATCGCGTATGTCTTATACCAAAAAGTGCTATCAAAATTAAAAAATCTTATGTGCAATTATATGCACATCTGAATTTGTGAAATTCAACAACAGGTCGGAATAAAAAAAAGTCACTTTGTATTGACGATGCTTCAAAAAAAAATATTCTTCACAAATTAAAAAAAATTGTCAATTCAGTCTGCCCAATATAATTTTCCTACATTACCAAAACTGAAACTGAGAAATTGTCTGTGTAGAACAGTGAACAGTGCGAGGCGTAGCCGAGCTATGGACCGTCACAAATCAGAGCGAGGCGAGGCGGCTTTGCTGCCGGAGCCGAGCATATGTCTCATCAAAACCAAAAATTGACAACAGCATTTAAAATCTGTGCAGATCTGGATTCAACAAGTTGAATAGAAATTTTCAAAAAAATCACTTTGTATAGGTGATGTTTTCATAAACAATATTCCTCACAAATTCAAAAAAATATCAGTCTGCTTAATAGCATTTTCTTACCACACCAAAACTGAAACTGAGAAATTATCTTTGTTGAACAGAAAACAGTGCGAGGCGAAGCCGAGCTACGGACCGTTACGAATCAGAGTGAGGCGAGGCGGCGAAGCCGCCGGAGCCGAGCGGATGTATCCTCAAAACCAAAAAGTGTTATCGAAACTAAAAATCATATGTACAATTATGTGCAGATTTGTATTCAACAGGTTGAGTAGAAAAATCACTTTGTATAGGTGTTGTTTCCAAAAAAAAACAAAAATATTACTCACATTCAAAAATTCAAAAAAATTATCAAATCAGTCTGCTTAGTATCATGTACTTACCACGCCATAACTGAGAAATTGTCGCTGTTGAACACTGAACAGTGCGAGGCTTTTTTATACCTACATATTTTATATATACTTCTTTAAAATACAAATTTAAAAAAAACTGAAAATGAAGAGTGTGGCACCAAACAGCTTGGGACGTTAGGTTATTTGTAGATTAAAAAAATTTTTTTTTAACTTTTTTGAAAGACAAATTCAAACAAAAATTATAAATGAAGCTAAATCGAATTCGTGACACCAAGCAGCGGTGGACATTAGGTTATTTGTAGATTTAAGCTATTTTTTTAACTTTTTTCGAAATACAAATTCAAAAAAAATTCTTTTTAACCGTTTCCCCAACCAAATAAAATAACCAAAGACTTTCGATTCTTAACACACGCGTCCTGTACACCAATGCCGAGCGAGCCGAAGGCGAGTTCGGCATAACTCTGGCCCTCCCTTAGACTCGTCTCTCTACGTCCACAGTGGCAAACGACATTTACCAATGCCCAATAACACATTACACTTTTTTTCACACCAATTCCGGAGCCGAACGGATATCTCAAAACCAATAAGTATTACCATTTGTGTTTTATATGCATTTATGTTAGGAACTGGAGTCAACAAGTTGAATCGAAATTTTCAAAAAACTTTGCATAGTGATGTTTCTAAAAAACAAAAATATTCCTCATAAATTCAAAAAAAAATGTCCAATCAGTCTGATCAATATCATTTTCTTACCACACCAACACTGAAACTGAATAATTGTCTTTGTAGAACAGTGAACAGTGCGAGGTGAAGCCGAGCCATGAACCGTTACAAATCAGAGCGAGGCGAGGCGGCCGGAGCCGAGCGTATTTGTCATCAAACCCAAAAAATGATAATAAAATTTAAAAAATCTTATGTGCAAATTTGGATTGAACAAGCTGAATAGAAATTTTCAAAAAAATGTTTCAAAAAAACAAAAATATTCTTCCCAAATTCAAAAAAATTGTCAATTCAGTCCGCTCAATATTATGTTCTTACATTACCAGAACTGAAACTAAGAAATTGTCTTTGTGGAACAGTGATCAGTGCGAGGCGAAGCCGAGCTATGGACCGCGACAAATCAGAGTGAGGCGAGGCGGCGAAGCCGCCGGAGCCGAGCGTATGTTTCATCAAAACCAAAAAGTGATAACAGTATTTAAAATCTTATGTGAATTATGTGCAGATCTGGATGCAACAAGTTGAATAGAAATTTTCAAAAAAGTCACTTTGTATAGGTGATGTTTTCATAAACAATATTCCTCACAAATTCAAAAAAATATCAATTCAGTCTGCTTACTAGCATTTTCTTACCACACCAAAACGGAAACTGAGGAATTGTCTTTATTGAACAGCGAACAGTGCGAGACGCAGCCGAGATATGCACCGTTACAAATCAGAGCGAGGCGAGAGCCGCCGGAGCCCAGCGTACATATGTCTCATCAAAACCAAAAAGTGTTCCCAAAATTAAAAAATCTTATGTGCAGACCGGGATTCGACAAGATAAGTTTTTCTAATTTTGCGAACACTTTTTGGGTATGATGAGACATACTCGCCTCGCTCCGATTTGTTACGGTCCATAGCTCGGCTTCGCCTCTCACTGTTCACTGTTCAACAAAGATAATTTCTCAGTTTCAGTTTTGGTACAGTATGAAAATTACATTGAGCAGAGTAAATTGACCATTTTTTCAAAATTTCAAATTGTCTTTGTTCAAACCTCATAGTGCGTGTTGACATCTGACAAACGAAAAACATAAATCATTTTAGACCATTTCTTGCAGTAGTGTGGTAAAATGAAAAGTGCGCGGTAGGTAGGTTCATCTAATTAAATTGTGCAAAAATCGTATTGCGCCGAACATAGATTACATCTCCAAAAATTAATACACAAACGTATAATACCCCTGTTTTCGGCGATATCTGTGCAAAATATACTCACTCTAGCGCAGTTTTGAAATGCGAAGCATTTTTACCAACCTATGTAATGAGATTGACCATTGACATATCGATGCTTTTTTGAACCGAATCAAATTTCTTTTCCCGTTTTAGAAAATTGTAACAAACATTAAGCAAAAAAATAACAAAAAAAAATAAAAAAAATAAAAAAATAAAAAAAAATTTAAAAAAAATGGACAAACGGTAAACCACATAAAGAAACAAAAAAATAATAAAATAATTTAAAAAAAATATAAAAAATTAAAAAAAAAAAATTAAAAAAAATTCCATACGGTAAACAAAAAAAAATGCGTACGTTAATTAAACGGCGCCGATAGGTCCGTAAGGACCTATCTAGTT